TACTGGCAGGCTACTGTACACTTTGAAGACCCTGGGAAAGTTTTACCACGCTCTTACTTATGTTGAAACTACCCATATGATTCAAAGAAACAATGCACACTCCACTTTATAGACAGTGGAAAAAAATTAAGGGTTCACTACAGTGACATTTCCAGCATCTACCATTCGCTTATGGGAAACCACTGTTGGAGACAGTGACTGCCACTTCTTTGGCTTATCAGAGGGTAAGACTGAAAAATCCAAATACATTATGGTTATTTCACTAAAAGTACTATGTAGTATTATGTGAGCCTACACAGCATTCTACATGAACACGACCCACCTGTCTTACCCTGTATTATAGGTTACCCTATAATCATGCAAAATGATATATTGTACTCATTATTAAACTGATGCATTCCACAGAAATGTTCTTCAGGGATAATGAACTCCGATGAGAAAAACCTGTAATAATATACTATCTTTCACATACAGACATTAAAGGACACTCAATACCAAGGGTCTTTTGACAAATCATAGTTTGTAAAAGCATAACGCTAAGCCTTTTTCTCACACATCCATCGCAATGAAGCATCACATGAACGATCGTTCCAGTGTTCTTCAGTTTTCTTGCCAGTTCTGATGTGTGCACAGTCCTCTTCACCCCACTTTGGATCTCCACCACCATTATCAGGCTGCTCTGCCTCCCAGTACCTAACAGGTCAGTAAACAAGAGAATCATGGGAGTTGTTCCTCATCTGAGTCGAGGGTCTAACGCTAGAGGATGCCGTTTGCTGTACAGATTGGGAAGCCCTTTGAGGCAACTTTTTGATTTGTGATCATGGCCATAGACAGCTATGGTGGTGGATGTAAAATCCGTCCCTGCCTGGCTACTTATGGTGAGCAGATCATTTCTGTATGTCTATAAGGGTATAAGTTCATTGAGAGAACCCAAAAATCTAAATCCCTGTATGCAATTACATGATTGAATTCACATGTAAACTGATGTCACATGATGATGAACTCTGTGTTTAAGGAAGTGTAAAACTTGGGTGTGGTCCCACAACACAAAGCCAACCCAACTTTGACTTGATGACCATGTATGTAAAATTACCTAAA